AACGCAACGATGTTGACAAAAAAATTGTTCACAGAAATGTCACTCGTCTTGACATGTGAGCGTTTATAGTATAGTTGGAATGATATTCATTGGACCAAATAAATATTTTTTTACATTAGATAATTTTTACAGCTCTAACAAAGATTATTATTATCTTTTTGTAGATATCGGGCATTAACTTAGAACTGTATTTCTTTATTATACTTATTGAATTGTTTAATTGTTACGGCACTTTACAGAATAATAAAATTCTTTAATTACTTAAGACTCACTTAGCCCGCAACTCCGTCCGCGTGGAATTAAAAAAAAAATAAAGTGTGTGCCTATGTGTTCTTCTAGACTATGTTCTACATCTATGCCAAATTTCATCCAGATCCGTTCAGCCGTTTAGGCTACAAACTCTAACAAATATTCATCCATCCATCTACACTTTCACATTTATAATAGTATGAATCTATTTCTATATTTCTGTTCATTGGCCAATAACCATCAACCCTACTGCAACTGATGCCAGTTGTCACGCTACGATCACTGTCAGCCGTTACAGTCGCCCTCGCAGCTCATTTGACAACTAATTCGATGTTACGAGTCACGCGATACCGGGGAAAATACTTCTTAGAATTTTCCTTACGATTTCACAGCCTTTAGGGACTCGTAACAAAGTCAGGGTTATTTAATTATACAGACTGAGTAAAAAGATAAAAAACATCGTAATAATTGTTAATTATCATTCGTTTATTTTTTTAAGTGAAGGCAACTTCGAAATGAATTACTACTACTATTGTTATACATGTTTAGATGGATGTTTGTTAGAGTTTGCAACTTAAACTGAACAGATCTCGATGAAATTTTGCATAGATGTAGAGATTAGTTTGGAAGAACGCAAAGGCTACTTACTATTCTTTTTTAAATTCCACTCAGACGGAGTCGCGGGTGAAAACTACTATTTTTATTATAAATCATCTGTAGAGGAAAAATATCATGTACTTATAGTAAATACCCATGAAGGCTTAATATTTAAAATGATAATAGATACAAAAATAAATGTTCCCATAAATATTAAATCGATTTCTCAGAAGTTGTATTGTATGCAAAATCGATTACAGACATTGCGCTCAATCGTATATTCCGATTCCTAATTATAGTTGGAATTATAATGAAAAACGATCACGATTGCTGTACAATCTTACATAATAGGTTATTTATTGAACATACAATCTATTTAGCTCATCTGTGTTTTATTAGAATATTAGCTTTCACGCACGAGACCGTCCGCGTGGAATTAGAAAAAAAAAAGTGAGTAGCCTATGTGTTCTTCCAGACTATCCTCTACATCTATGCCAAATTTCATCAAGATCCGTTCAGCCGTTTTGGCTACAAACTCTAACAAACATCCATCTAAACTTTCACATTTATAATATTACGAGTAGTAGATCTCCTTATCTTACTCCCATAGGGTCGGAGCAACAGGTTTTTGTCCTCCACATAACTCTATCATACGTCATCTCAGTCATCACTCCCTTCTTGATGTCACCTTTCACGCAATCCATCTGTTTCTAGGTCTACCTCTACCGATGTACTCTTCCACACTCATAACTAACGTTCTTGTAACATGCGATTCATCCCTCCTCCCTCCCATACCATGCTAACCGTTCACTCCTTACCTACTCTACCACTGGGGTTACTCTCAAACTCCCCCTTATATACTCATTTCGTGGCACTATTTATTGTTTGTCTATCGATTGATAATTCACTTTCAATTGTTTTGATTACTACATAAAGTATATCACTACAAAGAATAAAACAAATGCGCTAACCACTGTCTGTCCCTAGGTCAGCTTAGATCTTTAAAACTACGCAATGAGTTTTAAATAGATACAGTAGCTTAAAGGAGGTTTATGTACAATATAGTATAGAAAACTAGTGTGTAAATGAAGACACTTTCGTATCAGCATTGGAACCTTTCGAAGCCGGGGTGAGTCACTAGTCAACACTAAAATCAATACCCAACGACAAGGTGGAAGTATTCGGTACTAAAAGACATGATTATCTAGAAAAACTAACCCCACCATTTGGGAGGTAGGCAGAGACAGAAATTATAACAACTATTGTTGTAATATTTGACGCGAAAAAAAATATTTAGAAAAATAAATGCGCGAAATGTGGTATTTTCCACTATTAAAAGTGTTACACAAACACTACAGTATAATTATTTTAAATTAAAAAATCTTTGTTTAAAAATGAAGACAATAGATGGCGTTGCATCATTTAAAAAAGTCACTCGGGATTTTTTTTACAATTAAAGTTAGGTTGTTATTACAAGTCTTTTAGTAGTTCGAAATAGCGATAAGTTTAAGGGTATGGTGGGATGATTGTTTTTTTTTTAACCGAAATGTCCTAATGACAGGACAGAAGTCACGTCTGTTTATAATGCCACGCTATTATTCGCCGCAATGATATTAAAGTCGTATTATAATGTAATGGGATCGACGGATAAATGGACCGTTTTCGTGGACGGAAATAGTTTTTTTTTTAAAGTTTAATAGCTTCAAATCGATTACGTTTATGTCGTAATAGAGACGATTTTCAGTTTTTGTTGCTATTCGATTCATTTGTTTTATATCTTTTTAAGAATAGACAATATTTTTATATTACTTTCTTCTTCTTCGAATGCCATCTCCTATCGGTGGTTGGCTACCATTATGGCAACTTGAATCTTTGCCACTGCTGCCCTAAATAAAGACGTGTACTTTTATTACACCATTTGTGTAGATTTTTTTAGCCACGATGTACGGCTTCTTCCTAGATTTCTATATTTCTAACCGAATGAATAATAAGAATTTCTTAAAGACTAGACTTTTGCACGCGATTCTGTCCGCGTGAAATTAAATAATAATCCAAAACTTAGCTTATGCTACTCACTGACAAAGTAGCTTTTTAATGCTGAAAGAATTTTTGAAATCGGCCCACTAGTTTATGAGTTATTTCATTACAATCAAACAAACAAAGTTTTCCTCTTTATAATATTCATAGCTTTCGCCCACGTGAAATTGAAAAAAAAAACAAAAGTGAATAGCATACATATGTGTTCTTCCAGACTTTCCTCTACATCTATGCTAATTTTCATCGAAATTCGTTAAGCCGTTTAGGCTACAAACTCTAACAAACATCTAAACTTTCACATTTATAATATTAGTAATTAGTAATAAACAATAATATGACAAATTATTGTCTGTGACTACCCGCGGAATTAACAAAGCTTTTAAACTTGTATAAAATGCCTATGTGTTTTTACTGACTGTTCTACATCTGTGGATTTCAAAATCTATTGTACTATTCCAGGAGACCTTCTATTAAAATACATCTAAACTTTGACATTTATAATATTAGTAAGAAGTAAGATTTTTAATTATATTAACTATCTTACTTTCAATCAATGCGAAAGTTTAGATGGATGGATGGATAGATGGATGTTTGTTACAGTTTGTAGCCTAAACGGCTGAACCGATTTTGATGAAATTTGGTACAGATGTAGAGGATAGTCTGGAAGAACACATAGGCTACTTACTTTTGCCTTTTTAATTGCACGGGGACGAAGTCGCGGGCGAAAGCTAGTTTAGTCATACTTTTTTGTTTTAACAGTTGGATATTTTTCATTGGAATTGTTATTTTATTGTCATTTTTGTGGGTTTTCTTATTAAAATGTCTATCTAAGTTAATAATTAAATACTCTACGGTTTAAAATTACTTAATGTTAATATGTGTTGCCAGGAGGGAAAAATAAAACCATAGTTGCTTGATATTTTTTTTATTATATACAAAAAAATGCATCTGCTAACCAGCGCAACTGTATTCGCTAATCGTTACTATACAACGGGTTCTCATTGGAGACATTCACAAAAAGGGTTTCGATCTCATTTCAAAGAAAAATTATAATCATATTTTAATGTGAAAGGTGTAAGAAGGAACAATTGAGGATGATGGAATAAAGATTGATATGGAGGACGAAAACTAACAGCCAAATATTGAAACCAATCTTGAATACTGCGCTTTGTAAACGACGCATAGCCCGCGCGACACCTATGGCTAAATTCGCACAATTTTTTAATCGCGCTTTGATTCCTACGAGCTTATACATAATTATTTTACTATGTAATTTTATACGTCAGTTTCGTACGGTTTGCACTGTTCTTAACATTATGGAACGAACTCTCTTCGTACACTAAGGGCCTGTCCCACCACTGCCTGATAGAGTTTCAGATAGCTTAAAATAACCTCACTGTCAGATAAGATAACTAAATGTGATATTTTCATCACATATTTTAGACGTTGGATTTTTAACAGATAATTTAAAATTTGGTGGCACAGACCCTTAAACTAATAAAATTAATAAATGTGGGATAAAAATTAAATCTAATATTTTTACTATATACAGATATGTATTTATAATTGGAATGTGTTTTTATTCGTAATTCTTTACAATCTCCAAAGAGTTTTCAATGCAATTATTCTTCTATATTACAATTTTATTATACTATTGAAATTATTTATATTATCAATTAAAAAGATTAATAATTAAATGCTTTTAATGGTTTGTGTATAACTTTTTTACATATTTTTTATGGATTTCTTAAGTCATTGTTATATCTACAGATTAAATTACATTTATTTGTTCGCTTATATTTTAGAAATTATTCCTCTATTTACATTTAATTAATAAAGCTTAACTTTTACGAAAAATCGTAATTGGAATGAATGAGTTAAAATCTACATAAATATTTACATCACTTATAATACAAATCTAATATTTATATTTTATAATCATGTAATGCTAACATGACTATTTTGTCCATGAATTTATTACTGGTACAAAAACTTTTTTTTTAAACAATACATTCTAGATTGTCAAAGAATTTAGTTAGAATTTTAGGTGGCAGTATTAACATTAAATTTTCTTTATTTATAAAAAAAAATCAAATGTCATTTTCAAATTTGGAACTTCAACAAATCGGTGACGCTACAGGCGGTGGGTGCGGGGGCGCACTGGTCGTGGGCGCGTTCAGAAACGCCTGATTCCCCGCCCACGGCTGTAGGTTTTGTAAAGCGCTTAAAGCAGTATTCGCTGGAGGCGCTGGTGCTGTACTGGCTGCGTTTTGATAATGCAGCGCTGACAGCGGCGCGGCGCCCGGCGGTGGCTCCGGCATGTAACCTTTGCTCAGCGCTTCAGCCTGTAGCGAAAGCATCAAGCGGTTAGCCGCTTGCCGTTCAGCTTCACGTTCCTCGGCTGTTTGACGTCTGTAACAATGACAAAAATATTAGTTAGTTTATTATCTATATCTATCTATTTACTACCTATACATATAATACAATTGGAGTGTCCGTTTGTAATATCAGAAGAAAAGTTCCAGACTTCACAAATCGCATTTTAAAATTTTTGTCCGTCTGTCTGTCCACAAGCCACGTTTGTTTCGAAAAATCTCTGAAACGATTTCGACCAGACCTTCACTGTAGGGTAGGTGACACAGACGGGCATATTATAGGCTACTTCTTCAAATTCCGCGCTGTCATAATGGCGTAATGGGTGGTCCAAATTTGCGCTAACGAAATTTGCGGGCGACAGCCCGTTTCAAATACAAATTGCATTGTTAATAGACAATTATACTATACTGTCATATACTAATTATCATTAGTGCATAATCTTTGGTAGATCTTTACTCTATGGTAAAGTCTTTATGGACGACGAAACTGTTCGTATCTTTTAATAGATCATCGTTTAAGCTTGTTAATAATAAATAGCTTCATTAAAACGGTATCCACGTGTTACACACATGGTTTGTACAGTTAATGGTTGCATTGAATTATGTAGATGTCGCTGAGTGTCCGCTGATCGTTCGGTTAATTATTCAACTTTAATCAGCTTTGGAATTGCGGTCCAGCTGAATACGGACGGTTACAAATATAATAAGAGTGAATTTAATAATCGGATATACAAATAGTTTCAATTTACTTGGTTCGTGACGTTTGTATGCAGCTCTATGTTAAATATTTGAACGTATGGTTATTTGGTAGAGCCCGCTTTAACATCTTCGCACGAATGGGTCGACTCGCCCCCAGCAAAACCACGACCACACAGAAAACAGCCGTGAAGTGGAAGCGCGTTTTGTCTGGTGAGTGTGATGCCGGAGGCCTAATTTTAGTCCCTTTCCCTTATCACCCGTTTTTAAGAGGAAATGATGGGAAGGAGAAGTGGATTTGACGGTGGAGGAGATGCTTAGGAAGGGGAAAAGTCCTTTTTATGATGGTCTCCACCTCTGTCAAATGTTTCACACCTATTCAACGCATGTAAAAGAAACCGTAGTTTCTTATTGATACTTATGTATTTGTTAGTCATGTCATTTCAAACAAATTATTTATTGGTTAACAGCAGAAAACTATTTTTTTTTCTTACGTTGGTAACACTTATAAGTTAAAGATTCTTTTTTTTTTCATTTATTTGGATAAAAGAACAATAACACAAGAAAAAAAAATATACAGTACAATACAAAAGTGTTGAGTAGATGTGCCATCCACAACTTTACCACATAGTAACTATAATAATAAAATAAATCTATAAATAGGCTAAACATTCGAGTGGTACTTAATGATATATTAATATTATTGATAATTCAAAGTTTTAATAATCTCTATTTTAAGGTTATTTTTAGTTACATGTATGTATATTCTATTGCTAATAATAAATCTTATACACATAGATGACCAATGTCCAATTTCCCAGCTACGTTTAACCGTTAGTGTTTTTAGTTAAAATCATATTTACGTTTCGGAACTACGTAACTTTAGTTTTATTCCTTTGTAATATAAGTCGATCTAGCACTAATGAATCATTGGATAATGATAAGATAATTGAAAACTTAGCCAGCACTAATAAATATAGCATGTTTATGATTCTCTAACGAAAATAAAAATACGTATCCAAAAATGGATATCGATCCGATACTGATACTAAGGGATACTGGTCCTTTTATAGATTAACACATTGCGTTATAAAGTACAAATAGGTAAATATACTTAACTCAATCTAGTATATCTATGATTCTCAAGGGAAAATAAAAATACGTATCCAAAAATGGATATCGATCCGATATTGATACTAAGGAATACTGGTCCTTTTATAGACTAAAACATTGCGTTATAAAGTACAAATAGATAAATATACTTAACTCAATCTAGTATATCTATGATTCTTAAGGGAAAATAAAAATACATATCCAAAAATGGATACTGATCCGATACTATAAAATACGATACTGATACTGAGCGATACTGTTCGTTTTATAGACAGAAACATTGCACTAAACAAGTACAAATAGGTAAACAATAGACTAGCTATCACTAAACCGTCTAGTTCGTAAATAATGTACAGGCTTTTAGAGAGGCAGTCGAGGGTTCTAATTTGATTCACGTCAATTAGTATGAACGACGACATACGAATTAGTTCGTTAGTTCGTACTGGCAATCAAATGGTTAAGGCAAATTGATGTTCCATTTTTGAAAATTGACAGAATTTAACAAAATTACTCTTATAAAAATACCTAAAAGTACACAGTAAACAATTATATTTATGCAAAACTAGTCGTTTCAATGCGACTTCATCCGCATGAAATTATAAAAAAAAAATCTTAATTTTATTGTTTACATTTGTCAAATTCTCAATTGCAAATGTCAAAATTACCGTTACCATAATAACTTTGCCTCTTCAATGTTGGCAGCTTGTAGTTTACGGTCCCTTTCCCACATGAAGGTTTTTTACCACTTTATCCCGAAGATTAATAGCGTGAAAATGTACAGCCTAAAGCGTATTTTATTAAACAAATAATTATTCAAAAATATGCTGTGATTGCTGACATCCAACGTCACAAAGTAGTGTGTTTACGATTAATATATTAGTATAGATTGTAACTTCCATTAGTCATTCATTTCATTCAATTCAGACTAACAAATTTGTATACTACACTTTTTTATCTGTGAGTTCTAGACTTTTTTTCATAATAAAACAGAGGTGGTCAACAACGGCCATGGACATGCAACACCAGAGGAACTACAGATACGTTGCTGGCCTTTAGTATAAATTTAAGTCGTTGTATTTAATTCAATAGTCTTGGTACATTAAGGTGATGAAAATTAAAAGATATAGGAATTTTGTAGCGAAAATATGCGACGTCTTCCTTACATTCATAGTTTATGCCAGTTAATATAACAGCTTAACTCTTAGAGACATTAACTTAAAAGGGGTGAACACACTTAGGCTAAGCGAACCTTTTCATTAAATATTAAAAGCTCAAAGTAGAAGGCGTTCTTGAACTTCACCTTGTCTGAAATTGTTGGTTGGAAATATTTACATACTAGCTTTCGCCCGCGACTTCGTCCGCGCGTAATTTAAAAAAAACAAATGTAAGTAGCCTATGTGTTCTTCCAGACTATCCTCTACATCTATGCCAAATTTCATCGAAATCCGTTCGGCCGTTTAGGCTACAAACTCTAACAAACATCCATCCATCCATCTAAACTTTCGCATTTATAATATTAGTAAGATAAAAAGTAAAACGTTAACATAGATGATCTTGCAAATTAAAATCTTACACACGCAACTTTTAATAAAGCCTAGATAAAGGGACTACATAATATAACTTTAAACACTAGATAAAAAAATACTTATTGTCTATATAACTATTATAAAGAGGTTTATTTTTTAATTCCACGTGGACGAAGTCGCGAGCAAGAGTTAGTAAATTATAAACTCTTTAGTAGTAAAAAGTTCGAATGTAATACCTAGTGCGTTAAAAAATTATAAATCTTATGTAGATCGATAAGAAATTAGAAGAAATTAGCTTGTTGTTTGGCCTGACTAATGAGGAGGATGTTTTCAGCGCATACGTAATTTTTTTTTATGTATGTGAGTTTGTATCAGTTTAGAGTCTAAACGGCTGAGCTGATTTAGACGAATTAGGTTTCATTCGATCTGCCTTCTTCCCCGGAGTGTCATAGAGTAAGACTTAAGCACAATACTCCTACAGTGGACGAGAGAAATTAAATTTCATAAAATTATGTAGATTACCGAGTCCGAATCCCAGTCGCCGTATTTTTTTTTTTTTGCTTTTTAGTCTTATTTTCAATGTTTTCGAGTTTATTCTCTTAGGATTAGTCAGTTAGGTTTTTTGCTTTTTTAAATTAACGTTAGATTATCTATACATGTAATTGGAATATTCAAAGAAAAATTCCAGATTTCGGGAAGATGATGTACTTGCGTTGCTGGTAACGAAAATGACATTAAAAAAATATCTGCCGTTTGTTTCGGGTAATCTCCGAATAGCTGAGCCAATTTCGACCGGACTTTCACTTAAGGGTAGCTGACATACACGGGCATATTATAGGCTACATTTTTATCTTAATAATGCGTGGACGAAGTCGCGGACAACAGCTAGTCGTTGTTAAATAATATTAAAGGTTCCTCAACAAACATTTAAATAATCTTATGTTATCTGAGGTCTGTTCGTTAATGTCCATACCTTAAGGTCGTACGTGACTCATTGTATCTTACTAATTAAGATAGCCGCCGACATACCGAGTGGTCTCTTTAACCATCATTTGCATGTGTAGATATTTTAACACACGATTAACATTTAAAACGAATCTTAAACAAAAGGAATAAGGTTTAAAATGCTTTAATTAATAAGCAAATCATATCTGGTTTGCAAATAAAGCTTTTAAGCGCAATCGTTAGTGTCCACTGACCTAAAGACTCTCAATTAAATGTAAGTTTTTTTTTAATTGTTATCGAAAATTTTAAGTCAATGTCTTAAGAATGAGGTGTTATTTCCCTTAATACAGATTACAGTATGTAGTCTTTAAATGGAAGTTAATTATTGTGTTGACTGTTTTAAATAATTATAACATTTAATTAAATATTAACAATATAAAGATCGTTGGGGATTCTACTCGTTTAGATTAATTAGTTAACTAGCTGTTGCCGGTGACTTCGTCCACGCAATATTAAGAGAAAAAGTAGCCTATAATATGCTCGTCTATGTCAGTCACCCTTCAGTGAAAGATCTGTCGAAATCGGCCCAACCGTTTCGGAGATTACGCTGAACAAACGCGGTTTGCGGACAGACAGACAGGAAAAAAAAATTTAAAAGTGATTTTCGTAATAACGATTTGCTTCGTGATTTGATTTGCTAATAAGCAACGCAAATACATCATCTTCCCGAAATCTGGATTTTTTTCTATTAATATTA